ATAAATAAAAAATATTCTATACACCGTGCCAGGTGGTCGGTCGCCAGTCCCTCCCTCCCTTCCACCCCCCACCAACCCTCCCTACCAGATGAATGTGTGGGAATACCAGTGTAATGAGACAAATCTCACATGAAGAAGATTACATATAGGTAGAATATTGATAGTATAAGAGTATAAAAGAGAGGAAATTTCTGGTAGCGTGCTCGTGATAGTTATTTACACTTATCGTATCTTATACGTCAATACACTTCTATTACGTCTTAAGGGCGACTTCTCAAACACCGCTTCGTTACAACTCTTTATTAATTACGAACAAAACATGGACACTTTAATAACACCTTCTATTGACGTTACTAGGACATTATATTTACGTTACTAGGACATCATATTACGTTACTAGACACTCTGATTCTCGGACACGAACATGAAATGAATACACTTCCCACGTAAGTAACTCATCCCGTGGAAAGCTCTGACAAACACTCACGTGACTTAGGGGAGGCCTAGCAGGTAGTCCTGGGTTGTCTCTATGGGAGACTGCTTAGCTGGGCGCCGGAGGGAAGTCTCGGTCCTGACCGGAGGCGGCTTGCCTCCGGCCCCTGACTTCTCTCGAGCAGGACACACTCTCTCTCTGTCTCTCTCTGGCTCTCTGTGCGTATCTGTCGAGGGAGGACTAGCACGTCCTATATATTGGGCGGCGAGCCGTCAGGTTGAGCTGGTCGGGGGGGGCGGCGAAGGGTCTCCTTACATTTGACCTGGCCAATGTGAGGTCAGGTCTGGACTTTTTCAGAGACTATAAGTTGTATCTTCTGGAGAAGTCATCAGGTGGGGCCGTGTGTATATTGGGAGAGGGCCGGCCGGTGCCCCCTTACATGTGTGACATGGGAGGGGAGCCTGGCTGATTTATAACCCTTGGTCAACCGTAAGAGTTACCCTACACTTGACCTCCCTAATGTCGGGTCAAGACTGGACTGTCTCTGAGATGCAAGCTGCGGTCTGACAACCCATCACTACAACTCCCGCCAAGACCAAAGCTTTCATGCTCAGAGAACTGATGACACATTTAAAGTAGACAGTAACATCATGTGCAGTATCTAATATAGTCCCTGAGGCGATAATGCATCCTTACATTTTACAAATTATAACACTAGAGATGTATGTTTTTCTACTGGCATAGTTTGATCTGACAAAGCTTACTATACCTCCCGCCAAGATTAAAGCTTCTATGACAGGAGAAAAAAATAAAATACTTACACAATAAGTGAACATAGAGTGGTCTAAAGATCCTTCATATCTAGCATAGTGTCCGAGGCAAACTTGCAAATCACATTCTACAAACAAAAACAGGTGTTACATTGCCTAACCAGGCCGTGTCAGAATAATAATTCGTCCCACTCAGTAGTATGTCTACAACATTGCATTTGGTAATACAAAACATTGATCAAATGAACTCATAGAAAAAGTGACTAATCTTTAAAAAAAACATTCTTTGTAGTACATGATAACAAAAATCAGAGAATTAAATACTTCAAAATACAAAATGCTCCTACTTCACATGTTAGGGTGTTATATCTTTTTATTACACATCAGCAACATCAACAACATCAGTACATTTGTTGGGTTCAGCATGGCTCAAGTTTTCCATCCAGCTGGTATCTGAAAATAAGGAATGCCGGCAGCACAACAGCGGTAGTCGATTGGTCCTTCTGATGTATGCACAGGACGTCTTCTGTCTTCACATAGCACGTTTTTCTTTCTTCAATACCGCACTTTGTAGGTCGTGTCACCACATCTGACTTCTTCACACTTCCTCCTGGTTTCTATAATATTCCAGATGATTTTTCTGTTCACCTGCACTTCCTCTACGTTTAGAGCATTTTCATATTCCAGATGAATTTTTCTGTTCATCTGCATTTCTTTATACATCTTCGTTTTCCGTCATTCCAGATGAATTTTCCTGCTCCATCTGTATTTCTTCTCTGCAACATCATCGTTTTCAACATATTCCAGACGATTTTCTGTTCATCTGCCGTCGGCCCCCTCCGGCCGGGATGAAAGCCGGTCCACTGCTTGGGCTGTCGTCTCCTTAGATGACTGTGAGGCAGGTTCCGCGGACCAGGGCTCGCCCTCCGTACGTGAGTGTCGGCGAGACCAAAGACCGTCCTGTCTTACACCTTCCACAGTGGTGAATCCCTCCCTGGCTGGGTTCACCAGGGTTCGTTGTGTGGCACTACATTCCACACTCCTTAACTTCCTACAGTAGAAAAATATAAAATCTTCTTAATCCTAGACCAGGTAGGACTTGAAAGAAGTGGGGTGGTGCGTGGCGGGTGTGGTGCTGCATTCATCACGCTGCATTCCTCACGCTGCTGCTTCTCTTCTTATATGTGCTGTGGTCGGATTCCGGCTAGCCATGGGGCGGTACTGTGTGTGACATTTGACAGAAACAATCCGAAAGGGATGATGGATTAGTTGGAAGTGTATCCGTAAAGAAAAACAAATATTTACTTTATACGTTACGTCAATGTTTGGCAACTATAGTTCCGTCACGACAATATTCTCATTAGGCTGGGTCGGGGAGTGAAGCTCTGCTCACTACATTGAATATTATTTATCACTACGCATCAAAGAGTACATTACAAATCATACTAGCATAAAAACACACTGAGTGAAGCTCTGTAATTATCGCAATATTAAGTAACACTAACCACCGATTTCGAAGCATAACTCACATGACAAAACATATGGGGATTGGTGGTCACACTGGACGGTGCGAGGCGGGTGGAGGCGAGGCGGGGCGCGGCTGGCCAGGCCGGCGCGGGGTGGGGCGAGGCGTGGCGGGTGAGGTAGGGGGGAGCCGGGGCATGGTTGATCGGGCCAGGCCGGGGCTTTGCGGGGCACGGAACGGCGGGGCAGGGATGGGAGGAAGGGTAATGAGGGTGAGGTGAGGATTAGGACAGGGAGGAGGATGTAGGTTAAAAGACATGTTAAGTTATAACAGTTAGTACAGACACCGCTTTCATAACTGAAACAATTTCTACGTTCAACACTGACCAACAATCAAACTGCACTTGGGCTACTGAGAATGTCACAGATCGCGGGGGACACTGAGAAATCACGTTAAGCACTGAACATATTTCTAGAAAAAATTCGCGCATACCACGACGAGAGACATTTACTTGAGCTGTAACGGTGACACACTAGGACACTTTTCACGCTACGACGCTATGACACAGGAATTACTTATTACACAATTGTAGACAATACTTAGACTGAATCAAATGAAGGATGAGACGAGCCAGGTGTTATGGCTAACCGAGGGAAGGCGTGAGTTTACGTTAAGTTCGCTGCTACCATTATAATAACTAAGCGAGGAGGGCGTGGATTAACGTATATAGTTCGCTGTCACCTATAACAAGACGGATCTTGCAGGAAGAATATTTATATATATAGGTAGAATATTTAGTAAGAGAGTAAAAGAGAGGAAGATTTTGGTAGCGTGGCCGTGATAGTTATTTACACTTATCGTATCTTATACGTCAATACACATCTATTACGTCTTAAGGGCGACTTCTCAAACACCGCTTCGTTACAACTCTTTATTAATTACGAACATGACATGGACATATTAATAACACCTTCTATTGAAGTTACTAGGACATTATATTTACGTTACTAGGACATCATATTACGTTACTAGACACTCTGATTCTCGGACACGAACATGAAATGAATACACTTCCCACGTAAGTAACTCATCCCATGGAAAGCTCTGACAAACACTCACGTGACCTAGGGGAGGCCTAGCAGGTGGTCCTGGGTTGTCTCTATGGGAGACTGCTTAGCTGGGCGCCGGAGGGAAGTCTCGGTCCTGACCGGAGGCCGAGGCGGCTTGCCTCTCGCCCCTGACTTCTCTCGAGCAGGACACACTCTCTGTGTCTCTCTCTGTGCGTCTGTCGAGGGAGGACTAGCACGTCCTATATATTGGGAGGCGAGCCGTCAGGTTGAGCTGGTCGGGGGGGTGGGGGGGGGCGAAGGGTCTCCTTACATTTGACCTGGCCAATGTGAGGTCAGGTCTGGACTTTTTCAGAGACTATAAGTTGTATCTTCTGGAGAAGTCATCAGGTGGGGCCGTGTGTATATTGGGAGAGGGCCGGCCGGTGCCCCCTTACATGTGTGACATGGGAGGGGAGCCTGGCTGATTTATAACCCTTGGTCAACCGTGAGAGTTACCCTACACTTGACCTCCCTAATGTCGGGTCAAGACTGGACTGTCTCTGAGATGCAAGCTGCGGTCTGACAACCCATCACTACACCAGACTGTTTACCTTTTTAGTAATAAATAATAAATCAGCCTAAAGTTAGGATAATATAATTGACATTGCTGGATTCCTTGTAAGACCAGGAATATTTTGAATATAAATGTCATATATTTTGCACAAAAGATAACATATTTACTCAGAGTAAACATTATATCTAAAATTTGTATGTCTAATGCAAAATCTATGGTTTATATTCAAAATGATCATCAAATTGTAAGAATTCCAGCAATGTAAATTATATTCTGGCCGGATAATTTGTATGAATTTTATGAGCTAAATAAAAAAATTACACTTCACCCGCGTAAAGGGGTACACCCACCGCGGAATGTGAGCATCCTGGGTTCTGGCAGGGCACCGTGTAAACGCGGAATGTGGGACCGCGTAAAGTGAGGGTTGACTGTATCTGGGATGTGTTTCTGGAAACTGACTGTTTCATTGAAATATTGATACAGTGTAATAGCACATACTGTATTATGATTGTGTACACATGGCAAATGTTTTGAATTAATTTTTAAGCTTGTTAATAAAATGAATAATTCTTAAGGATAATGACAAAAACATCATTAAGTTGGCTGTGCAAAGTATTTTTGTCTAATTTATCCGAGTTATAATGTAGATTTCAGGATCTAAACATGAGTTGATTAGTAGGCATGGCTTCATAGTTAATGTTTGTTCCAGATTCTAAGCTCGGAAGGCAAGCAGAGTGTTGCTGTTAATCTTGCTTTGGGTGAAGCACAAATTGTAGATGAAACTAAGCGGTGAGTATGAAATTTGATTAAGTGTTGATACTGGTTATAGTCTCATCTCAATTGTTTATGATTCCTTTCATTTACCGTATTTTGCGGCGTAAAAGACGCTGCATCGTGGAAGGCACACCCTGATTTTGGAAATGTAATTCTAGGAATAAACTTTTGATACTAACTTTGTTCTTCTTCGCAAACTTAAGCCATTTCGTTTCATGAGGGGAAAACACCAACAAGCAGTTCCTTTGAAGTCATCCACCAATGTGTTTGCTGCAAACCTTCTTGCTTCCAAAATGATCATCTTCATAGTCATTCCAAAACCTAAGCTTCTTTGGTCTAATATCCGTGTTTTAAAGTTTTTTCTAAGTATGGCCATTTTGCTGGTACTGTATGAAGATTATGCTTCTGTTTGTTCACTTTTGTTTTATTCCTCCTCCTGCTTTCTCCACTGGTGAATCATCTTCTCAGTAGGTGGTGGTCCGAAGTTTCTCTCTGTTGCCCTGTTTTCATGCTTTTTGGCATATATCACTACTTCAAATTTAAATGCTATATTATATATGTCTCCTTGATACACCTGCCATAGATGAGGGAGATAATTTGTAAGAATGAAAATGGCTTGTGACACCAGTGAAGGCCTGGTAGTAAATGAACAAAGTTTGCGACACTCAAGTGTGAAGTAACAAAAATTCCTGTGCTTTGAGACCAGCAGACAACCTTAAGCAATTCCTCAATAGATGGCGCTGCGGCACCACTGCCATTAGTAAACAAACCGCACAGCAGCAAGGGTTGTGTAGCTGCAGCCATTTATTTGTATTTTATTCTACCTACTGTACTGAGTAAGTAACTTGTATTTTTTGCAGTATATCAACAATATTAGTTAAATCAATTGTTTTATAGTAGAGGGAATACTTGTAATTACTAAGTAATGAGGTAACAGTCTCTGTAAGGGGCTGATTTCAGTTGACCCCAAGAAAACCTCTGCTACAACCCATCAGCTAGTGTCGGGGAAGACGCATGGTAATTTTCAAGGTATATTTTTTTAATTCAAAGTGCGTCTTCTACGCCGCAAAATACGGTACTCTGTCTAAATGAATATTGCATGGACGGTGTCTTTCGCTTTAAGCTGCCCTTGTCACCGAATTAACCAGATTGAGTCTTTTTTGGTCTGAATATAATTATTGATTGACATAAGACCATTGTGACTCTGTCAGGTTGAAAGCTTAAAGTTAACTCATTTTATTCAGACCCCTTCAATCACTGAAGTCCCTGCTAATTCTTTATCTTTGTAGACAATACAAAGAATTGCAGTACATTCAACCTACAAAAATCAAATGTAACTTTAAATGTACAGAGTATCTTGAAAATTTCCTGAAATGGTCATATGCTACTGTATGGTTACTGTACTTTGTTTATAGTAGTATGTACAGTACATACAGTATTTATTAGTCATGAATATATTGCCAGGACAGTACTTAAGAACCCATATAATGTAGTATGTGAAGGATAAAAGCAAGTAAATTTGTTTAAAGAAGTTAGAGAAGGAGAACCTGGGTATAATTGAAGTTAATTTGTCATTTGAGGAACATACAGTATACATGAAACAAATGAGATAAACAACTTGGTAGACCTGATTCCATGAACATTCCCACCACACTGGGCTAGAAATCTCATGTGGGGGCTGTGAAAACCTGTGGTTACTCAAAACTGGAAACTTGATTGGTGAAATGGTGTACAAAATATGAGTGAGACCTGTACAGTACTTAAAATTGCAGATTGTGAGGGATAACTTTACCTTGGTTACATTTTTCAGGTAATTATTAAACTAAAACAGTGATAGAGATGGTTGATTGTTGAAGATATATCTGGTGTGTGAACTTATGATTATTGAAATGTAGTAGCACACTGTTTTATATACAGTGGTCCCTCGGTTAACGAGCACAATCCGTTCTAGAAGGTTGCTTGTTAACCGAAAAACTCGTTAACCGAATGGGTTTTTGGGTAATTGGTTCCAGCTCACCGAAAATTGCCTAAATTCTACAAAAAGCTAGAAAAGTACACTTACTTCGAGGTGTGTATGTAGAAGGCTCCTGGATGATGATGATGATGATGGGAATTAGAATGGGGGTGGAGGAAAAGGGAGAAGAGAAGGCATTGGGGTGGAAGAGAAGTCACCCCATGGTGCCATTTCACCCATAAAATTTTAGTTCTCTTGATGTATTTCAAGATTATTTTCTTTAAATCAACATTGCACTGCATTATATATTGTCATTATGTAAAATAAATTTCAAAATGACCAATAATTTGCTTGCAAACACAGAAAAAAGCATTTAGTTGGAGAGTCTCAAGCAAGATGTTACCTCCACTGAAAAGACAGACAGACTGGACCCTGTTTGGTGTGTTGAGAGGCTGGATGGCACGCATAAAACTAGTTTCCTTACCTTCAATTATGTTCAATAATTGTTAAAATGACTAAAAAATTTAATATTCAACTTTTAAAATTATTGAATAGTATAAACTTCTTGATATTTACTAAAATGGTGAGGAATATAAGCCCTAGAACCGATTACTGTATTGGCGGACTAATACTACAGCTGGTGGACCGCCAAATGCAAGTGAAAACATGTTGAGGTCGGCTCGTAAGAAACTTGTTAATCGGGGGATTGCTCGTTAACCGAAGTTAAGAATCTTATGGAAGGTAACTCGTTAACCGAAATCTCGTTAACCGAGGGACCACTGTATCGCACTGTATATTTTACTGTACAGTACTTCATATTTGTAAAATTTTATAAATTTCTTTATCAAAGTACTAATCTTGTTTTTTATTTTATCTGTACTGTATCATTAGATTCCTTGAGGATAATGGAATTTCTTTGGAGGCATTTTCAAGTCCAGGTGTACAGCGATCTAACACAATAATTCTGGTGAAGAATCTACCTGCTAAAACTACCGCCCAGGAACTGTCAGAAATCTTTAAGCGGTATGGAGAACTTGGTCGGGTTGTGTTGCCTCCTTCTGGTGTATCTGGTAAGTTTATTAATTTCTTTCAAACTGTTGTTCTATGTAGTATTCTCCAACACAAGGATGCCACATGGGTCTGTCTTGTTTATATTTTTTCTGCCTCACATGATACTGAAATTTTACATGAAATCTGAAAGACAAATCCCTCAGTATGAGATGGAGTTAAGCTTTGTTTAAGGTGATTTTGCTATTGGTTGCTGAGATTTTAAGTGTGGTACTGAGATGATTGAGTCAGAAGGATATTTGCTTTGTGGTTTATCTGGATGATTGAATTATTTAGGGGCTCTTTACTATAGCATTTGGGCAAAAATACAATGTGCATGCCTAAAGCAGGTGTTTTAGTGAACAGGGTTATATTTGGCTATTGTGCAGATCAGAAGTTTCATTGCCAGTGTATTTTGTCGAATATGAGAACGAATCTGTTGGGCATCTGGTAGTGTCAAGTGTCTTTAGGGAGATCGGTTTTATTTCTCACAAACAGTGTGAGGAAAAAAGTGGGTAAGATGACTTTTGTAGCCCAGGTAATGGAACTATTGAATCTTTTTGTAAATTGTAATCCAAAGAATAAATTGTTTTTAAATTAAAATTTAGATCTGTAATTGTCTGTTTTTCCAGGATACTTTAGAATGCATTCCAGAAGTAGGAAGTCAAAATTGCATTTGTCTTCCAATGTTCCTTGTAAGCCACCCTTTGAGAGCTTTCTGATGGTTTGGAAAAATGCATCCAAGTCAGGATGGGATTTTCATTCCTCCATAGCTTGGAATTTAGGGGCAATGGTAATTGGTTCTCACTTCTGTCAAAATTTTATATAATAAAACAAAACACAATTCCAAGCTATATATGGTACAAGCTTTGATAAAGAAGTATTCTGTTTTTTATTGATAGTATTGTATGTGAGGAATTTTTTTCTTGTAATGCTATGTCCATACACATACTGGTATGCTAGAGGAGAGGACTGATACCCTGTCTTAATACTGTAGTCTACTATTTTATGCATTCCTCAACCATATGCACAGTATGGATACTCTTCCCGTGTTAGAGGGTTTTTGCAAAATATTTTTACGTTGTATGTTAAAATTTTGTTTATTGCTTGAGGTTACGTTGTACTATGTTGATTCTTTCAGGTGTTATCGAGTACCTAGATCCAGGTGAAGCCAAGAAAGCATTCCGCAACCTTGCATATTCAAAATTCAAGTACTCCCCACTCTACCTGGAATGGGCTCCAATACAAGTGTTCAAGAACGAATTTACACGTCAGCCACAGAATGAGAAAGAACAGAGTCAGGATGCTGTAGAGACTGAAGGTGTGTATGTGTGTAAGATTCCTTTCTAGTATCTTGGGATTTACTTTTAGTATATACTTTGAATTTTTTATGTTTTTACGCCTTAATTTTTTCTCCGAAAGAGAAGCTTGGTTGCCTTGGTGATGTATTCAGACATTGTTGTGATAGCTGATATTGAGTTCTAGGTGTGCTAAAACATGCAAAAAGATACTGAAACTAAACTGTAGAATAAGGATACACAGTAACACAGATGCAACTAAACACAAGCTGGGGAAAGAATTCAAACTGAGCAGTGCCATTGTCAAGGGCAGATCCAGAGGGGGGGGGTTCCTGGGGGTCCAGATCCCCCTTTTCATCAGAAAATTTCAATACTTTTCTTAAATTCAGTATTGTACTCAGGTGTTTTTGTACAGTAAAAAATAATTATTATTAACCTCAGAATATCTCCTAATATTGCCTGCACATGTCTTCAAAATGCCCATGATATTGGTCAGATTAAAGATAAAAAAAACAGCTGAGTGGGCTCGTAATTTCCCACAATTCCCTCTTTTGATATTGCTGGGTCCGCCCCTGATTGTTGTGGTGCTGGGTAGGTTAGCCGCCCTCCAGCCATCTTGTAGCTCCCACCAAGAATCCACACAAAATAAGTTTTATAATTTTGGTGAATTTCTTTGTTATATACAGTACAGCGATTTTTATGATTAAATTTTTTTTTTTAATTTACCCAAATTCCATAAGGATGAATTTCTTGTCCGTATCGCAAAATTTTGAGTCATAATTTCAAGATTCCGTAAGATAGAATTTCCGTAACCCAGGTTTCCATGTAATGCAGGGTCACCTTTACAGGTACAAGGACTATTGGTACCAGAATTATGAAGATTAAGGGATTTATGGATTAATTGATTTTTTTGATTTTGAGCTCTTTTTTAGTAGAAAATATTAATTTTCCCCAATCACAAAAATGAAACCCTCCCTATCATTCATCCACTTGTTCTGTAACTTTTCAACATTCTTTGTCTTTCTCTCTTGATATCCATATACTGTACAGTAAAATCTCAAGTTTAGCAAGTTTTAGATTCGCAATTCATGTTTCGCGTCACTTAAAACTTCTAGCCTCTCAAGAATAGAGATTGTCATTACTGGTTTCGCTAGTCAAGGGAGAGTGGGTAGTTCGCATTGTCGCAGTCTTTTGTTATCCACCGTGTTTTTTGTTTACGGTAGTTAGTTTGAATGGGCGAGAGTGTTACCACCACTGAAGCAGTAAGTACGCGACGTCTAGATAAGAAGACCCGTGCACGTGGACTCAATGATGTTTAATGATCAAAACCTGTCAATGCAATGTTAATGTTAACACATTACTCATGATTTGTGGATTACAAGTCAGGTGACAAATAATAGCTTCATATCTTATACAATGGTAACGGCATTTACTACACACTTGTGTGATAATTACAAAGATGTATACATAGTAACTCCCAATACATAACAGTTTAGAACAGCAAAGCCTCGTGTGAGAAAAGACTTACGTGTAACAGGTTCTATAACTAGTCTGTATGTGACACTCGTAGTGCTCTCAGCTCGACAGCGTGTCTTGAACTGCCTCTTAGGGCAGATGGAGCAGCAAACCTCGGGTGTGTTTAGAGCGATCAGTTGAGAAACACTGCCGTATGTTTTCGTTTAGGCGGCCATCGCAACAACACTGTCTCAACAGCCATGTGTGCTGTTTCAGCAGCCTCGTTTCTTCAACTTAACTAGTCAACTCTGTGTTCATATCAACTATTTTTTCCTATTACAGCTATCATAACACTCATATATGTTATGCTAAATTCCACCATTACCTCCCACACAGTGCGGGCTGTAACAGAGAGCGAGCAGTGCAGTGACCTTGGATTATATAACCCAATGTGCTTACGTTTTATGAGATTCTTGTTTAACTATTAATAATTCTTGTGTATTATTGATTCTTGTGTATTAACGATTCTTGTGTATTGATGATGAGTGGGGTGTGTAATGTAAATGTCGGGAGCGATTCTGGTGGTAATGGTGGCCGTAGAGAAGGTCAACAAGAAAAGCCCCAAGCCAAACGTGACTACCATAAGGAGGTCAAGAAGAGGAAATACACCCTTGAAATGAAATGAGATGCTTGGAATGATCAAAAGTGGCGCTCGTACCTGTGAAATCATGCGTAGGTTCAACTGTCCCGAATCAACCATACGTTCCCTTAACAAGAACAAGAAAGCCTAAACTGCTTCTGTGAATGTACTGTACAGTAATACCCTGCTTTACGCGGTTTTTTTTTTCGCGTTTCTACATTTACGCGGTACCCTGCCAGAACTGGAATTCCCACTTTACGCGGTGCAATGCACTATTCATATACACAGGTGAAGTATAATTTTTTTATTTAGCTCATAAAATTCATACAAATTACCCGGCCAGAATGTAATTTACATTGCTGGAATTCTAACAATTTGATGATCATTTTGAATATAAGCATCACAGATTTTGCATTGGACATATAAATTTTATATCTAATGCAAGTATTTTGTTTACTCAGAGCAAATATGTTATCTTTTGTGCAAAATATATGACGTGTATATTCAAAATATTCCTGGTCCTGCAAGGAATCCAGCAATGTCAATTATATTATCCTAACTTTAGTCTGAGGTATTATTTGTTACTAAAAATTTAAATATACTGTTATAACCCAAACATTTCTCTGGTAGGGAGGGAGGGACCCAGGGAACAGGTGGGAAGAGGGGGGGAAGTGGGGTATTTTGATTGACAGATAGTATTTGGGTAAGTATATTTTGTTTATTTATTGAAGATATTTGTTTTAGCTCATAAAATTCATACAAATTACCGGGCCAGAATATAATTTACATTGCTGGAATTCTTACAATTTGATGATCATTTTGAATATAAACATCATAGAGTTTGCATTAGACATACAAATTTTAGATCTAATGTAAGTATTTTGTTTACTCTGAGTAAATATGTTATCTTTTGTGCAAAATATATGACATTTATATTCAAAATATTTCTGGTCTTGCAAGGAATCCAGCAATGTCAATTATATTATCCTAACTTTAGTTTGAGGTATTATTTATTACTATACCTTAAAATCTAGTGTTTTCCCCCAAACATTTCTCAGAGAGGGAGGAGCCAGCGAGTGTGAGAAGAGAGGGGCGGGAGTTGAGTCCATTATTTGAATGGACATTAACTTGGCGACTGTATTTCTCTATTTCTCTTAAATATTAATTGTGTGTGTGTACCATCATAAAATTAAGATGTTATTTTTACTAGAACATAGGTATTGTGTCTGGAAAAAGTGGAGTTTGGGGGTCGGCCCGGTCTCTATTTCAATTAATCCCATATGTTATGTTGTTCACTTTACGCGATTTTCTCACTTTACGTGGGCCTCCGTGGGTTCAATTGACCGCATAAAGTGAGGGTTCACTATACAGTTGTACCCCACTTAACGCGGTCAATTGAACCCAGAGGGTCCCGCGTTAAGTGAAATCCGCGTTAAGTGAACAACAGAACATATGGGATTAATTCCAATAGAAACCGGCCCGACCCCCAAACTCCACTTTTTGAAGGCACATACCTATGTTGTAGTAAAAATAACATCTTAATTTTATGATGGTACATGGACAGTCGCCACCAGGACTGCCGGCTAACAGATGGTCGGTCGGTCCCTCCCTCCCCCCCCCCCCACCAACCGTCCCAAGGAGATGTGTGGGATAACCTCAAACTAAAGTTAGGAAAATATAATTGACATTGCTGGATTCCTTGTAAGACCAGGAATATTTTGAATATAAATGTCATATATTTTGGACAAAAGATAACATAGTTACCTAGAGAAAAAATTTTATCTAAAAATTGTAAGTTTAAAGCAAAATATATGATGTTTATATTCAAAATGATCACCAAATTATAAGAATTCCAGCAATGTAAATTATATTCTGACCGGGTAATTTGTATGAATTTTATGAGCTAAAACAAATATCTTCAGTTAATAAAAAAAAAATAATCTTCACGACACTATCTGTCAATCAAAGTACCCCACCTTGCCTCCCCCCCTCTTCCAACCGCGCGGTCAGTCCCAACCCTCCCCCCCACCCCCCACCAATCCTCCCTTCCAGAGTTTTTAACATTTAGTATTAAATAATACCTCAGATTAAAGTTAGGATAATATAATTGACATTGCTGGATTCCTTGTAAGACCAGGAATATTTTGAATATAAATGTCATATATTTTGCACAAAAGATACCATAGTTACCTAGAGAAAAATTTTTATCTAAAAATTGTAAGTTTAAAGCAAAATATATGATGTTTATATTCAAAATGATCACCAAATTATAAGAATTCCAGCAATGTAAATTATATTCTGACCGGGTAATTTGTATGAATTTTATGAGCTAAAACAAATATCTTCAGTTAATAAAAAAAAATAATAATTCTTCACAGGGTAACAGATGGTCGGTCGGTCCCTCCCTCCCCCCCACCCCCCACCAACCGTCCCAAGGAGATGTGTGGGATAACCACTAAATTTTAATAAATAATACCTCAAACTAAAGTTAGGATAATATAATTGACATTGCTGGATTCCTTGTAAGACCAGGAATATTTTGAATATAAATGTCATATATTTTGCACAAAAGATACCATAGTTACCTAGAGAAAAATTTTTATCTAAAAATTGTAAGTTTAAAGCAAAATATATGATGTTTATATTCAAAATGATCACCAAATTATAAGAATTCCAGCAATGTAAATTATATTCTGGCCTGGTAATTTGTATGAATTTTATGAGCTAAAACAGGCAGTCAGGCAGGGTGGCGGGTGGGGCAAATCTAAAAATAGCGTCTCGGACACTCACCGCGTATATGTGGAAAAAATCCGCGTTAAGTGAAAGTTCAGCTTTGGCAAGGCACCGCGTATATGCGAAAACGCGTTAAGTGAAACCGCGTTAGGCGGGGTAAAACTGTATTCTCAAGATTTTCTAGTAGCAGGACGTTCTCCGATATTTCACAACGAAACCTACTGCTTGTTAGCACAGAACATTACCTTCACAAGTGGGTGGAAAGAAGAAACCGTGAGCAGGGCGACTTGTCTGGGCCACAGATAAAGCAACAGGCACGTGTTTATTTCACTGCAGTTGCAAAGAAGAAACATGTTAACTCTCCACCACTGTTCAATGCTTCTGTTGCTTGGTTGGCTGTCTTTAAGAAGTGTTATGAAGTCAAGTTTGTCCACTACCATGGGGAGAGTGCATCGGCTGATGTCATAGCAGCAGAAAAATATCTACCTGTCTTTCAAGCTCTTGTGAAAGAGGGTGGTTATTGGCGAGACCAGATATTCAATTGTGACGAAACTGACATTTTCTGGAAGCGCTCACGTAAGACCACTTTCATTGTCAAGGATGAAAAACAGGCAAGGAGTGTAAAGACTGAAAAGGACATGATTACAGTTTTATTTGCAGCTAATGCAAGTGAAGATTTCTTGATGAAACCCCTGGTTGTTAACCGTGCTGCCCGTCCTAGAGTCTACTGTCATGCCAATATGTCGCAGCTCAATGTTTATTGGATGTCTAATAAGATAGCTTGGGTTACAACGTCTTTATGCACCGACTGGTTTGACAAGCACTTTGTTCCTGACGCCCAACAATACTGCCGGAGGAAGAACATTGACTTCTAAGTGATCCCGGTGATGGATAATGCTCCTGGTCACTCTAAAGGTTCTAATTGGATGCCACCCTTATGTACAAGTTATCTTCCTTCCTCCTAACATCACATCACTTCTGCAGCCACTTGACCACGAATTCATCAGTAATGTTAAACTGTTCTACTATCAGTCACTCTATAAAGACTTTTGTCAGCAGTTGTTTTAGCTACTGTACATGTCCCGTGTTAATGCTCGTCAGCAGGCCCTTTTTACTCAGTATCTGTGCAAGGACCAGCCTGTTAATGCCTTGGCAAACTTCACTTTAAAATGATATTGAAGTGTTGGGTGACTTACTGGTGGAAGAGCTGCCTCAAAACTTTGAGGGATTTGATGCTGAGGTTAGAGGAGGGACCAGGGAGGAAGCAGTAACCAGCCCTCCCTGCCTCGGAACCCATCAACCAGCACCGTCAAGCATTTCACTGACTCCATCAAGATAAGTTATTCTACAGTATGAGTGTATATCAACAATATGTACAATATAAATATGTATGAATACATTACTGTAATATAATTTTTTGGGTGGGTTGTAGGTGACACCGTGTTGAGGCTTATTTACATGAACAGTATTTCATCGTCACTTGTTTCGCGATTTAAAATTTTGCGACGCTAAAACATTAAGAATTCATCTCGAAACTTGAGATCCTACTGTATTCGTCCCGTCTTTCATCAATAATTACTTGCAGAAGATGCTCGTTGTCCATCTTTTCTAACTAGATAACTAACTTTTTGGTATTGCACATCTAGACTGCTCCATTTATCTGCAGCCCCTCACATTCCAAATTAAATTATGAGCATATTTTCTCTTTCAATCAATACTCTAAGATCTAAATATATTAGTCAACTTCTTAACTTTTATAACCTTCTCACTTGTTTGATTCACTTTTGCCCTGAGCCATACATTATCATCATCATCACTTTTAATTTTGTGTTTAATGAATAATGTAAAGACGTTGTGTGCACAGCCTCTTGTTCTACATTCACTTCATAATTTTATAGCCTCATACCTCCTTATCACACTTTCTGTATATTTATGAATTTTTTTCCCTTTAAGCCAAGTAGTTCTCACTATCATTCCTCTAGCCACACACATTTGGATAAATTTCTATATTTTCATTCATTCCCAGCACTCTCATTTACTTTCAGTTCTTTTCACTTCTCTGTCACTGTATGAAAACTAATTAAGGATGGGTATTACTGTGTGTTTTGAGAATGGATAAATAATTTAAGATTTTATGATGTGGATAGTTTGTTTTCAATATCTCTTAGATATACAAAAAGAAGAGGAACAAGAAAGAGTAGATGTGCTTCCTGACCCTGAACCAAACACAACAGTCTATGTTAAAAACTTGAACTACTCAACTACTGAGGAAGTTCTTAAACAGGTAAAGTCTATGAGGTAGTGTGTTTATCTGTCTAGTTATACTTGTATATTATGACCACATTAAATGGATATCATTACCCATACCTACACCCCAAATCTTACAGATACAGTACAAAGTTTTTTAAGTTTTTCTTGCAAGTCTTTGAATGGTTTCTTGCTTCATTCAATCGGGAAGAATCAAATTGCTACCAAGTTTACGATGGATGACTGATCCCACCCATGGGAGATGAAACAAAATGTATGGATTCACTCACTGCAGCTGGGTCCATGACTGTTTTGGTTATGGTTCATATTGTTTGTCTATTTTGTAGATTGAAGCGCTTCTATAGGTTCTGGTTTATTTTATATTCAACAAAATGAATTTGCTTGTTCACCTGTTTTGTTCTTTAGTTGTCCATGAACAGAGATTTTTTCTCCATTGCAGGTTTCTAGTACAGTATATTGATTTGGCTTAATCAATACTTGACCTGATTTTTTATTTATTTATTTTATTTTTTTAAGACAACTCAAAGTATGAGTATGCACACAGTGAAATAAGTAGACTTTAACCTCTTGGGTTTTTCCCTTTTTGTGCATAATAACTGCAAGGAAGTAATAAAATAATTTTTTTGTTCTTTGTTTTAATCAAATTTCAAAAACTCTTTTCTCTAGCATTTCAAGAGGACTGGACTTGTTCACTCAGTGTTAATAGCTAAGCGAAGAGGAGTCTCTCAAGGCTATGGGTTTGTACAGTTTCTGAGAAGGTCAGATGCACAAAAAGCCCTGAGAGATATAAATGACACTTTGCTTGAAAATCACACACTTCAAGTTAAGCTGTCTGAGAAAACACTGATGTGAGTATTGCAAAGCCTTAATGATTTAAGACATGTCTTGAATGTTTCCAGATATATCAAACATGATTGTTAGTTTTTCTATAGCCTTAGGTACTTAGTGAGTGACTTTCTATATGTACCACAATGAAACCCCATCTTATCAAGTTTCATATCTTTAACTTCTTCTATTATCGCCTTTGCCACATTTCCATCCTATTTTTACATTAAATTTGCTAGATTTTTTGTTTCTTAACATTTAGCCAATAGCCATTTTGTTTAATTCATTCCTTTCAAAAACCATTACTTTACTCTTCATAATATTTACTTGCAGTTTCCTTCTATTACAATTAACCATCCTGTCAGAGTTATTCACCATTTCTTACAGTTCCTGGTCCCTTTGCAAAAATTGGTACACCATCCACATATAGGCATGTTATTAGTCAGTCAATCATCTGACTCCTTCTTTACTGTTGCCTGTATCACCATTACCTTTACTTCCCTCGCCAATCTATCAATAAATTTATTGAATGACAATGGGGACATCACACATCCTTGCCTCACCTCATTGCAACCTACAGCTCTTTCAGTGTATTGCATACTCTGTACACAATGCTAGTTTCACAAATAAGCACATATTTTCTATTTTCTTATCCATGGAATGTTAGGCAATCATAGGTTGAATATTGACTACCATATTTTATGGCATATAAGACTCTTGCCCATTTCAGCAGGGACTATTTCGGGAAAAACTTGTGTGTACCGTATTTTACGGCAAATAAGACGCACTTTTTTGTCTGCAAAATAACCAAAAAATCAGCTTGCATCTTATATGTGAAGTTGCGGGCTCTCACAAGCTAATGAATCCCCCAGTTGCTGTCTCCAGTAGGCTAAATTCTACCTAACCCAACTCCAGAATTAAAAATATCTTACTGCTTACTTAAACACATTATTTGTATTTTATTAGAAAATAATTTTTGTAAATATAAAAGGTCGGTGTATAACTACTCTGTACTGTACTGATGACGATTAACATCCTTACAGCAGACACACAACTCATCAAAGGAAACTAAGCATTAACCATTTCTGAACTCTTACAAACATTACAATCTATTAATGTCATACCTGCAACATTTATTTTTCAATCTACAAATACCTGATATAAATGAAGATTTACATATAACTTTCTTTTCACATTTACATCTGTTAACATCGCTGGCAGCACTCCACGTCCTTCTCCCGCTCCCCCACCTAGCCAGCTAATTTGTTTTACTTTTTTTTTTTTTTTTTTTCACAATACGAGGTCTGTCCAAAAAGAAACCAAACTTTATAAAAACTACTTTATTGCTTTACTTACAAGTTAATCAGACTTGTCTCCTTCAAAGTACTCCCCTCCACTGGTTGATACACCTCTCCCAACGTTTTTTTTTCCAGTTCTGGAACGCGTTTTGAGGGATGGTGTGCATGTCTCGTAGCGAATATTTTTCTATCCCTTCTATTGTTTGAAATCGGCGACCTTTCAGGGTGGATTTCAACTTTTGGGAAAAAAAAGTCCGCAGGGGCCAAATCCGGAGAGTAGGGCGGCTGGGGGACGATAGTCGTCTCGTGCTTCGCCAAAAAGTCACGGATAAGTAGCAACGCGTGAGCAGGTGCATTGTCATGGTGCAGCATCCAGGTCTTGTTTGTCCACGCCTCTGGCCTCTTTCTTCACACTGCCTCCCTCAGACGCTTCAGGACCTCCAAGTAAAACTCTTTATTGACTGTCTGACCACATGGAACAAACTCATGATGAACGACGCCCTTCCAATCAAAAAAGACGATCAACGTCACCTCCACATTTGAGCGACTCTGACGTCCAGATTTGGGATCGTCTTCGGTAGATGTTCTTCCCATTTTGAAACGCTGGTACCACACGTGACATTGCATATGGCTCAAACAATCCTCCCCGTAAGCCTGTTGCAACATTTGAAAAGTCTCCTTAAAAGTTTTTCCCAATTTGAAACAGAATTTCACGCAAACACTTTGCTCTTCAAGATCCTTCATTTTTCAACTTGCAACAAATCGCCAAGTGCACTAAAAACACGTTCACTCTAGCGCGTGTAGCTCGATGACTAATTGACGTGGCATGATGCGGCTAGTGTTAGACTAAAGGTCAAGGTCACCGCTACACAGTGCTCCCATCATGAGCACGCTGCGCCGGCTCATTGGCGCGCTATTTAAAAAGTTTGGTTTCTTTTTGGACAGACTTTACAGTAAAGCCCTGAAGATCTGGACCCGGGAAATCCAGATTTCGGAAGATCCGGACAAAAAATTCGGGGGTTCTGGGCTAAGAAGCCTCCTAGAAGTCTCCCTAAGAAACATTCCCAAACTAGACCAAAGAACATCTTAGGCTCGTGGGTGCTGCTTGACCCGTCAGTTGCTTGGGCACGGGTGCCCGAAGAGGTGGAAAACATAAACAGAGTTGACAATTGTTGTTTGTGGGAATATTATTTCATTCACTCTAGTAATGATACAATGTTTCTTATTATGTTATCATAGGTAAATGCATGGTTTATATATGGTAATTTGTTTATCACTACATTAGTACTGTATTTTTTGATGTTTCTTATATCATTTATTATTTGCCATAAAATTCGGACAATCGGCTTTTCCGGACAGGTGGTCCCCCCTTTTAGTTCGGATCTTTGAGGGTTCACTGTATGTATGTAGGATGGTGTGTAAAAATAAATGAAGAATGTTACATATATTTACCCAAAAATATGAGTTGAAAAACAACCTTAACCCTCACAGCTTGGCCTAGTAGCCTGGTGGTTATAGTGACGAGTCTAATTTGGCTACAATGCCGCCAGTGATGTTAACAGATGCAAATGTGAAAAGAAAGTTATCTGTATACAGTGACCCCTCGTTTAACGAATGCCTCGGTTAACGAAATTTCGGTTAACGAACTGCCTTCCATAAGGATCTTCAATTCGGTTAACGAATTTCTTACGAACCGACCTCAACATGTTTTCGCTTGTACTGACCGGGCAACCAGCTTTAGTATCAGTCCGCCAATACATTATCGGTTCTAGGGCTTAAATTCCTTACTATTTTAGTAAATATCAAGAAGTTTATACTATTCAATAATTTTAAAAGTTTAATATTCAATTTTTTAGTCATTTTAACAATTATTGAACATAATTGAGGGTAAAGTGACTAGTTTAATGCGCGGCATCCAGCCTCTTAACACAGCAAACAGGCGTTAGTCTCTCTCTGTTTTCACTGGAGGTAACATCTTGCTTGAAACTCTCTTCAACTAAACACTTTTTTTCTGTGTTTCCAAGCAAATTATTGGTCATTTTGAAATAAATTTTACATATTGACAATATATAATGCAGTGCAGTGTTGATTTAAAGAAAATAATCTTGAATTACACCAAGAGAGCTAAAATTTTATGGGTGAAATGGCACCATGGGGTGACTTCTCTTCCACCCCAATGCCTTCTCTTCTTCCTTCTCCTCCACCCCCATTCTAAATCCCATCATCATCATCATCATCATCCAGGAGCCTTCTACATACACACCTCAAAGTAAGTGAACTTTTCTACCATTTTTGTTGAATTTAGGAAATTTTCGGTGAGCTGGAACCAACTACCCAAAAACCCATTGAAACAATGGTTTCGGTTAACAAACTTTTCGATTAACGAACGACCTTCTGGAACGGATTGAGTTCGTTAACCGAGGGGTCACTGTATCTTCATTAATTTTGTATTAGGCATTTGTGGATTTAAAATATACAGTAAACCCTCGATAACTTGACACATATGGGGCTCTGGTCTTGCCGAGTTATCCCAAATTCCAACTTATCGAGGCACTTTCCTCCTTCTACAAAAATAGAACAATTAAAAATTATCAACCCATATATGTATACATGTAATTACTAAATGTAAAAAGGTAACACATACCAGACTGCAGGTGAAGAATGAAGCATAGTAGGTGACACATGCATGGTAGGTGACACAGAGGTATGGTAGGTGACACAGATGCATGGTAGGTGATGCAGGTGGCCAGATATGCCAAAATTTTCCCAGGCATTTCCTGAGTTATACTAATACATTCCGAGACCATAGCCATGCTGAGTTATTTGAAATTCAGAGTTATCAAATGCTGAGTTATCGAGGGTTTACGGTAAATATTGCAGGTATGACATTAATAGATACCCTGTAGGAATGCTTATAAAAGATCAGAAACGGTTACTGCTTTTATATTTACATTAATTATTTTTCTTAATTACAGCTGCTCCCCGACTTACGGCGGGGTTAGGGACCGACATCCAGGTCGTAAGTCGGAAATGCTTAAATAACACATAGAAAATCGAAAATGGGGGTCTCTTTTTCTTCTCAGCACCACAAAACACTCACTTTTAAGCTTGCCAGCCATTTTAAAGTGAATTACAGATGAAAATTTTGTGTGTGTACTGACTTTGGGACTCAAAAATACGTAATTTGACCAAATTTTGGTACGACTGAGGCAGGTCGTAAGTGCGGGTGGACGTAAGTCGAGTAGGTCGTAAGTCGGGGAGAAGCTGTAGTTAAAATTCATAATAATGTGCTTAAGGGAAGCATCTGGCTGAAAATACGATGAAAATGGGAAAATTACGAAAATATTACAAAAAAGTTCCCGAGGAAAGCAGTTGCCCATGGTTATATGCTGACATATTTTGAATCCGTAATTCATAATATAAATGTAGCTATGCATGATATCACCCCCCCCCCCATTTAAAGGGCCCTTCTGTTTACATAGGAAAAGCTGTAGAAAAGTATTTTAATAATATTTTGGTGTAAAGTACAGTAATACCAATCACTTGGTAAAAATCAGAAGGTGGCACCTTTCTCAGAAAGCTAACCACAGGAGACTGCTGTCACGAGAGTCAGTGACCCATCAAACATTCGAGAGTCGAGAGTGTAGTACGATCATGAGTTTCTCTCACACCACCTTTCTCAGCAAGCTAGCAGCAGGACCTGATGCTGCTTGTATGCATCAGTTACCCATGAAAGAAGCGAGAGTGATGTTCAACCGTGTGTTGCTCTCACGCCACCTCTATCAGCCGTATCTCAGAACGAGTTTTTCTAACCTTCAAATCCCTAAGGCTCAGCCATATGAGCCAACTTTAATAAAACAAAAACTACGCAGTAGAATAACATACTCTGCATGGCTGAACATACAGATTTTCTTTATATTTGGCTTGATTTATTATTTGCTGATTTATCTTTATAAATATTTGGAGGAAAAAATGGTCAGTTAAAAAAAAATCATGCATCCAATACGAAAGCAATACTCAGAAATATCTATATGTTACGTTTAAGAGGATTAAATTACCTATATTCCACATGAGTTTCAAAGTAATTTAGTGAGAAATTATGGAGAAGTAGGATTGATAAGAATATAAGGGAAAATCAGATACTGTATTAGTAGGGTGTGTCATACAGAGGCGAATTTTTTTTTTTTTTGAGTTTGAAAAATCGGCCCATGGTATTAATGATGTAGTTCTATGTGCAGAATCATGTGATATCTTCAAATTTGAAAAGTTTTTATTTTTTGCTAGGTAAACTTTAACTTGAAATCTTATGAAAATTCAGTATTCCCACCCTTTTACCAACACCACTAAATAGCTTATTTAAAGTAAAGTAAATGTATCAGGTTAATTTATTAGGATGAAAATGATCCAGAATAGTGAAACGAATGATCTTGACACATTTATTAAATTTAATATTCCTTTAGAAAACAAAATCATCAAATACAAAAGCCGGTTTTACTACTACGACCCGGTGTTGCTGCACACCATAGAGAACATGTCTTTCTTGCTTCTGTTTCTACTCATCACCTCCATGCTGACCACCTGAGCTCGGATGTAGCCTTCCCTCCTCTCCTGGCTGTACACGTGACTGCTGGCCTCGCTCACTTGCTGTACACAACGCTCTATACTCTGGGTGTGCGAGGGCCAGGCAGGGACATGCATGGGGTTGTCCAGGAAAGCTCTGACTTGAACATTGGTGAGGCTGCAGGTAAGAGGGGGCTCACTGCCAGCCTGGATGTTATCCAGATCTATGAGATCAGTGAGGGTCTTGGCACCTAGATTGACTTCAGGAGTCTTCCTGACCCTGAAGGAATCGTCACCAACTGATTCGTCATGCGCAGATCCTCTCATAAGTCTCATATCCAAGATCTTTTTGACTGCCACTCTTCTCTCCTCCTCATCCTTACTGCAGAGCATTGTCTGCAGAACTGCCTCGGGATGAGCATACTAGGAAGATCTCCTCACAGTCTGCTCCACAATCTGAACAACCTTCCTTGGCTGACTCCTCAGGAGCTCAAGCTGGAAGAGAACATGCCTCAGACCTTCGGAGAACGATGACTTGACCTTGGTGTTGAACCAATTTGGCAAGTAGGACACTCACGATGAATTGGACAATAAGTCTCAGGTTGTGAAGCTGGTTCCCTTTCAGTTTATGATGAGCGACCCAAATTCTGCAGAACCTGAGAGCCGTTGTGAGCCACCTAGAATGTGAGACTGGACCTATCTGCAGGTAAGCAAGTCTATCAGGCATGACCCCAGTTTTGATGGCACTGCAAATCATGTAACCATAGTACTGGTCAGTACTCAGGTCGTCAATGACAGTATGTGCAAGCTCAACGAGTGGAGGGCCAACTGTGATTTTTTCAAAGCTCGGATTTATTTCTAACTTAGTGGCAGAGTCCAGCATCTTGCCAAGAGGACCAGACCATCTGTTGTTTGAAAGAGTCTTGCCATCCAGCTCCTGGATCAGATGTCTGAGTGGCAACTCGTTGGTGTGGAGGTCACAAACAATCCAGACCAGCTTCCTCCCAATCTTCCGCTCTATCCACTGTATGACCCCCTTGCCACCCTGTGTTCGTGTTGGTGCTGTCCCCTCCAATGGCCTGCAGGGTCTGGTCTACGTTCCTCTCTCTGAGCCAGTTCACAATGTTATCTGCCACTATCTCAGCTGGTTTCCTGATGTCATCTTTCTCTGGAGTGAAATGCCAAAATACTTCCCTCCTGGTTCACTGCAGCAGGAGTAGTGTTCCTCCTTCACCATGGCAGGGAACAACTTGTCAGAATCTCCAACTTTCATGAACACTTTAGTGTCATCCCTTCTCCCATCAAAGAACAAACAATTGATTCCATTTTCTCTTATCCCCTTATCAAACTCCTCTTCTAGGTTACTGACAAGTTTCTCCTGAGCTCTCCTTACTTTGTTATGATCTATCAACAGGTGAACATCATCAGGTGTTATCAAACCACCGTCAATCCAGGCAGCTGTTGCTATCTCTGCAGTTTCTCTGAGACCAGTGTGGTGTCACATGCTGGCCAGAGCTATGCTCGGGATATCTTTCCTATTTCGAATCTTATGCCTGGAAGGTTTGGGATCATTATTTTCTGGTTAGGGACAAAGTCACCATTCTCCTGGTCAGCACTCGGATCAGCCATGGGGAAGTCATTAAACTCTGAATCAGCTTGACTCCAATCATCGGCCTTTTTTACCTCACCCTGGGCCTTCTCAAGTCTCTTTTCCTCGGCAACTCTTCTCCTCTTCTGTCTCTCTGTGGCAGCCTCCTGTCTCTTGGACTCCGGAATATCTTGGCTAGAAATCATGAGAGCCCCTATACTGCCAGTCTTCTCTCTCTGTGCTTTGACAAATGCCAGTTCGATCACAGGAATCTTCAGTTCACGCTTGCAAATACAGGAGATGTGGGCCTCGGATTTACGGTCACGATCGCATCCAAACTCAGGACAGAGAACAATTGGGCACTTGCAAGTAATTGTGTCAAATAACTGGTCCAGTTGCTTGGCAAAGCTGTCCTTAACTGCAAGTTTTCCTCTCCCAAGAGAGATATCTCTTGCCTTTTCCTAACTGGCTAGCAGTCTCTCACTAATCTTCTTCTGACTTGTTATGACTGGAGGCTTGAACTGAGCGTTAGCCAGAGTGTACTGTGCCAAGACAGCTTTGGTCATATCACTGGCAATGTCTTTGTTTGTGTAAGTTCTTTGGTTCTTTCACTGATTTGCCTGATTAAAACACCGATCTCAAAGCATCTCTCAATGTAGGCAACTCCGACTTCAGGAGCTTCTCCCAGACCCAAGATAGTGACTGAGATGGCTGGATTTTTGGTTCCTCGTCCTGACACAAGCAGCCTTCAAAATATTATCAACTTATAAATGCGTCAGAATCTGGAAACAGAAAAAATATTGTTAGTTGGGTTGTTAAAGAATGAAGTCAGAAAGCAATGTTCACTATTTAATTGTAATGCACTAATGCAGCTGTACGTTAGATTTTCGATAAATTTCACGCTAAAATTTACCTAGCAAAAGGTTGCAAAATATTGAAACTGAAATTATTTTCTGTTTATATACACTAAAATCTACCAAAAAAGTGATGGGCCATTAGTTTTAGCTGATCTTCCCTCCTATGACACACCCTACTGTATTAGGGATTAGGCAGAACTGATTTAGGGGTATAGTAACAATGTATTTGGTGTCCTTAATTGCTAACATGATACTCTGTATTGATTGATCAATTATTAATGAATTTTGTGCTTCAGCCAGACTCTCCCCTAAAGTAAGTACAGTAATAACATATCTTTAATCCTGGAGTTGGGTAAGGTAAAATTTAGCCTACTAGAGACAGCAACTGGGGGATTCATTAACTTTCGGGAGACCATAATTTCACATAAAGGATGAAAGCTGAATATTTTTTTGCCATTTTTCAGACAAAAAAGTGTGTCTTATATGCTGTAAAATACAGTATTTTGCAAATAATATTACTCTTCATAGACTACACTTTTATATGTACCCACTAGTCCCTCACAGAGTACAGAAGAGAAGTAATAACAATGTCAAAACTCTTAATTAGTTATAAATGCTTATTTGAAGTGAATATTTAATTAGTTTTGAAATACAATATTTCCATGTAGATAAGTAGAATAGAAGTGATGTTTGTTGTTTATGTCATAAAAACTGGATATAAAATCAAACTTGGGGAAGCTTTATTTTTAAATTGAGTTTATTGGTCTCTTTGGCAGAACTGAGACAAAAACTTCAAGGAGGATGCATGATGCTGGGAAACAGACATCTTCAAAAATGGTGGTGAAGAATGTTCCTTTCCAGGCAACTGTAAAAGAAATACGACAGTTGTTTGAGTAAGTCTTTATAGTTTCTATTTTTGTGGAGTGTTATAATTTATCTGGTGAACTTTTAATTACGGATAATAACAACATAATTATCAGGGATTTTATTTTCACATCTTTGAAAATGATACACACACACACACAAATGGTACGGTATAAAAAGGCAACACTTGTAAACAACAGCCTGTCCAATGCTGAATTTATAGATAACTTATCTACTTTTCTGCTCCATTTTTGTTTTTAATTTTGTGGATGATTTGCAATGGACTTAGAATGAAAATTTAAAAATTTATGAACATTGGTTTGAGACCCAAGGAGTCCTTAAAAAAGACTTTATTTTGTTTTTTCTTAAAAAAAAGTTTTTGTGATCAAGTCCAGAATGCGGCGTCCAGCTTTATACCTACGTGTGTAAATGCCGAGCATTAACTCGCCAGGCCAACATACAGGCAATTAAAACATCTAATAATTACTTAAATACGTAATATTAGGAGGACACGTCGCTACCTGGCATGTAATTGCAATTCTCAAAACCCCCTCCCGCACCCTCCATCACACGCATTGCTACCATCATCTCTTGCCCTAGAGCGAGCAGTAAACAAATTTCAACTCTCAAGGGGTGGAGATGAGTGGGATGTCGACTTCGCATTCTGGACTATGTCACAAAAACTGGTTTTTAGAAAAAAAACTGCTTTTTGTTCAGTCCAGAATGCGACGTCTAGCTTTGATTACCCGAGCAGGAGGTGGAGAGGGAGGTGACATTGCATATAAGGCTCCGCTAGCTTAGGTCCAGATTATATTTATAAACTTTATGGAATATTTTCCAATATTAGGAACATTTACCGGAAGGTATAATGTTAATTTACATATCCAATTAGGATACTCACTTTACTCTGATGAGGAAGAAGGTCCTGGTTGTGGAGATTAACTAGGTCGGGGAGGGAATCCCATCATCACCACTTCTTTGATCTGACTGAGGCTCATATGCTGCAGATAGGCCACAGACCTTGCATATTTCCTGGTGTAATGTGCCAAAAATTTCTTGCCAGGGTCTGCTTGACTCACTAACTGAGATAAGCAATTGTAGTGGATGCGGGCACCATTCCAACATATCCAGACACAACGGTTGTTGAATCCAATACTGTGCAATTAAGAGGACCTTTCCCTGGAAGGATCTGAGTTTGTGAACCACTTTGGGCAACATTTTCACAGGTGAGAACAGATAGATTGAATTCCAACGGTTCCAATCTTTGAGTAGAGCATTTCCTAAAAGATTCGATCGTTCCAGAGATGCTGAAGTTGGCATCTTGTGATTGTTTTGTGAGGCAAAGAGATCTATTTGTGGAGTCCCAAACCTCCTCACTAGACTCTTGAACTTCGATATCTTTAGGGACCATTTTGTGTCCGACGATACTGGCCTGAGATGGGACAACGCATCTGCCCAATTGTTTTGTACTCCCAGTATGTGAGTTGCTTTGAGGTAAAATGTTTGTGTTACACAAACTTTGAAAATTTTTCTGACAGTGTCAGATGGGGCCAAGATCTGGTTGAGCTTTGATGATTGAGATAAAACACTGCCGTTCTGTTGTCCATGGCAAACAGAATTGTCACGTTTTTGAAATTTGGGTTTGCCAACAAAAAGAATAGGACTACTGCTAATTCTTTTATGTTTATGTGTTTGTCCCAAAGGGAGTTGCTCCACTTCCCTTGACGGAACTCTCCTTTTGAGGAATGGTATCTCCATCCTATTTCGGACGCGTCCATACAAATGACCAAGTCTGTTTGAGGGGGAACCCAGGGAGATGAACCGATTAGATTGTCCAAATTTGTCCACCATGATAGATGATTCTTGATCTGAATAGGGAGAGAAGAAACAATATTTCTGTTTCTGTGAAGCAACTTCGACCCCAGATGAGTTAGTTGCTTCTCCCTTAACTTGCTCAAAGGAACTACTATGCTGGCAAAATTCAACAGTCCCAGTAGTTTTTCCCAATCGTGCCAAGAAACCTCTTGCTTTACACAAAAGGCTTCTACTTGGTTTATCACATGTTACCTTTGCTTCTGGTAGACTGACTGACTGCTGATTGGTGTCCCAATGGAGACTTAACCAATCCAATTTCTTACATGGTAGGAGATTTGATTTGACCTGGTTTATCTTTAATCCTAGGTTTTGAAATAGTGCTAGTGTACGATGGTTCGCCCAATGACAATCTTCGAAAGAGTTTCCCAGTATCACCCAATCGTCTAGATAAGCAAAAGTTCTTATGCCCTCCTTCGCAAGGATCTCTCTGGGGATGTTCGCCAGTTTTGTAAACACTTTTGGCACAATTCTCAGGCCGAATGACATCACTGTGAATTGAAAACTTACATCCCCCACTGTGAACACTAGAAATTTTCTGTACTTGGGAGCAACAGTCACATGATAATAGGCATCTTCGAGATCCACTTTTGAGATCCAAGAATTGGGCGAAGGTAGATGCCTCAGATGATCGTAAGAGAACATCTTGAAACTTCTTTTGGTTATGAACTTGTTCATGACGGACAGATCTAAAATCCACCTCAATTTGTCGCTGCCTTTCTTGGGGACCGGGAATAGGCGAGACATGAAACATTTCTCTGACTGTAACAGTTCTTTCACACCTTTGTTTAACAGTTGAATTACAAATTCTGTGAGTAAGGGGGTTGGTTTCTGACCCCTTTTTGGTAACACTAGGGGAGGGCTCCTCAACCAAGCCCATGTGAGGCCCCCTTTGATTGTCTTGTATGCCCATATGGAAGAAGTCCACCTGTTTTCCCAGCCCCCTAGACGACCCAGCTGTCTGGCTTCATTGGGAGGGAGTGGTCGCTGTTGTGGTGGAATAAGGTCTCCTTCCACTTCTCAACAAACGGCCACCCTTACTACGTCTGGAATTGTTTCCTCCTCTAAAGTTTCCTCTAAGTTGATAACTGAACCTAGCAGCTGGTCCTGTTCCCCTGTTAGACCTTCCTCTTTTAAATTTCCGAAAGGTCTTCGAACTGCTAGGAACAGTAATATGAATAGCTTGCTCAACAGCTGATCTATACTTAACTAATGTTTGTTCATCAAACAAACCAGGAGAAAGAGGGGAAGAATGTAGCAATAAATAAGCACTACCACTTAAAGCATTATTAGTGGCTTGCTTCCTTAGCTGGGCTTTTAGTTTTAGGGCTTTCAACAACCTTTCCAAAAATGAGTTGTACAGGGAATATGAAATCCCTTGTATAGCAGCAGCAAAATATCTGTCTATTTCTGAACTGCCCTCATAGTCCAGCACAAACTTAGTCATTAACTGACACATCATGATTGCAGACAATATCTGCTGCCAACTTCCTAAATTTGAACTCTTCAAGCAACAGTGCGGAAGCAACTGGTTTCAAATTTATTTCATAACTTATATCAGCCTATTTTGGAGACGACAAATACTGAGAAAGTTCATGTAAGGAACTCTTTTTTTCATTACATTTGAACTTCAAAAAACTAAACTTGTTAGCATTCCTATCTGAGGGAATGAATGTTAAGTCTTTCAATATGTTAACCCAGACTTCATCTATTTCAGAGATCATTTTGGGGAAAATATCAGGCCAAGAAATTGTATTATCACCTTCTAAAAGCAATGAATGATGACCCACAGTTGCTTGGCCTTTCTGTCTCTTTGTAAATACTGAGAGATCAGGAAGTTAAGAAACATTTTCATAAAATACCTTGAATAAGGAATCCACAGATTTGGATGGGGTTGAAAACAAAGAAGACTTAGATCTTATCAATGTTACCCAAGGCCTGTTTGGATCATCCTTACACTCAATGTTCTCCATCAGCTGTGTGGGAGTCGACAGCAGCCTGTTCCTACTCTTAGTAACCAAAGGGAAACAATGGAGCACCTTAGCTTTCGTCTTTATTCAAGCCATCTTCAGAGGCAACTGAATTACAAGGACTGAGAGAGGCTTAAGAACACAGGGTGACCTTACTAAACATGAGGTCAGGTCATAAACATGACATCCACTAATCCGCACACCAACACTACCACACACACAAAGGAGCTTAAAAGAAAGGGCGACGTAACTAGTCATGTTGAGTCAGGTAAAAAATATGGGACCCACTAATCATCTATCCTACATCTAACTCCAAGGCTTTCAAAGCTTTTTTAACCTTGGGCCACTGACAAATAAATTTGTGTAACATATCAGTTTTGTACATGAATAAGGTTTATATAATTTAATTCCCTTATCAAATTTGCTTCAACCAGAAGTCTTTCTGTGACACATGATGATTTATACACTTCCAAGCTGTTTTCCCAATCTATGGGATGATTATTGTTCCTAACATGAACGAACAGTGCACTGCTTTCAGATGCTGTTTTAATATTGTACTTGTGCTGTTTAATTCTGAATTGCAATGCTTTCCCAGTCTGTCCTACATAATTTCCATTACAGTTGCTACATGGAATGCAATAAACACTTTCATTTTCATTCAAGATTGGGCTATTCTTGATTAATATATTGATGGTTGAGTCATACTTAAAAACAACATTAATATTTAATAATTTAAGGGACTGAACTAACGGAATAAATTCATTGCGATAAGGTAGAGTGAAAATACAGTGTAATCTCGATTTACGCGGTCAGTTAAACCAGTGGAGGTCCGCATAAAACGAGGAACGCGTAAACGAAATAACAGAACATATGGGATTAATTGAAATAGAGACTGGGCCGACCCCCAGACTACACTTTTTCCGACACAATACGTACGTTGTAGTAAAAAAAACATCTTAATTTTATGATGGTATGCACACACAATTAAACTTTTAAGAGAAATATCAATAATAATAGGTTTTTTTAACACTTACGTTAGTAGAAGAGATGGCTGGGCACACGGGGTTGGGGGGTTGGTTCAAGGCAGACGGCTGATTATTGGCTCTCACCTGTATCACTTGTATCACTATCCACCACAGAGGCTAGGAGGGCCTCCTTGTCAAACCCCTCAAAGTCCATATCCTCACTATCACTGACTTGAGATGGCTGTGGTGGGTAATGTTTTGTTGACTGGGCAAGCAAGGTTAAATAGACCAATCACAGCTCGCGGTGGAGGGGATGCGTGGGTGGTAAGGATGCGTGGCCCAATCACAGTCCGAAACGTCATCTGACGTCAGTGGTGACGTAAGAGCAACCAAGCGCGCAGCTTGTCCACGCCGCTTCCCGCGTAAATTCAGGAATGTACCTCGTAACTAATAATTGCCGCGTCTGGCCAGGTGCCGCGTAAATGACCAACCATGCAAATCGAGACTATACTGTATTCTTAAATGTTGGAATTTGCGTGGTTTGAGTAGAATGAAAGGATTTTTGAGCCCTTTTAAAAGCTAGTGTCGCAATCTGAATTGAACAAAAATAAGCATTGCAGTCCATAATTTGTCAACCCATTTCGTACAATAGACTGCTTGGTCTGCTTGAATATGTTGTTTACGTAAGTCGTTTGTTGATTCTGTATTTATGGTAGTCAGCATATATCCAATAGTATTTTTATCCATCTTATTCACATAATTATCATTTGTTTAACATCAGGAATACTCACTGATTTTTTCTCATTGCTTGAGGCTTTGGGTGAGTCACATGACCTAAGTGTGCATTAAGTTGATCTATTTCTTACAGAACTTTTGGCGAGTTAAAATCTGCCCGCTTGCCAAGTAAGCCAGGGAACGTGGAGCACAGAGGTTTTGGTTTCATTGAATTTGTTTCAAAAGAGGATGCAAAGGTAAATACAATGAATTTTTCCTTCATTTAGTTGTCTCATCAGATAAAATATTAAATAGGAATAATTCAAAGTAAAAAATGCCTCATAGGATTCATGCTAATATGGCTATATTTTCTGTTTTCAGAAAGCATTTGAGGCCTTAGGATCAAGTACACATTTGTATGGCCGCCGCTTGGTGTTAGAGTGGGCTAAAGAGGAAGAATCTGTTGAGCAGTTGCGGAAAAAAACAGCAGAACATTTTCTTGCAGCAGGTAATGAAATTAAAAAGCACACATACATCCATGTATGAGTACTTATTTACTGCATGTGAAGATGACTTAAAAAAAAACAGTCAGTCATTGAAGCATATCTAGGTTTTATTTATTTTTTTATTTTGTTCATTTTATTTATAATTTTTTATACTTATCAGCTTACTAGCCATTCAGGCAGGCAGTCTGTACTTTGTTATGACCTTGGTCTTTCACTGTTAGTACAGGATGAAACTAGAGAACAGTAGTACCCCGATTTACGCGGTCAATTGAACCCACAGAGTACCGCGGCAAGTGAACAACAGAACATATGGGATTAATTCCAATAGAGACTGTTTCGACCCCTAAACTCCACTTTTTCTGACACAATACCTATGTTGTAGTAAAAATAACATCTAAATTTTATGATGGTATGCTCACACAATTAATATTTAAGAGAAATACAGTCGCCAGGTTAATGTCCATTCAAATAATGGACTCAAATCCCACCCCCCCCTCTTCCCAGCTCACTAGCTCCTACCTCTCTGATTAATGTTTGGGTGAAAACTCTAGATTTTAACGTTTAGTAATAAATAATACCTCAGACTAAAGTTAGGATAATATAATTGACATTTCTGGATTCCTTGCAGGTCAGGGAATATTTTGAATGTAAACTTCATATATTTTGCGCAAAAGATAAAATATTTGCTTTGTGTAAACCAAATTATTACTTTAGATCTAAAATTTGTATGTCTAATGCAAAATCCATGATGTTTATATTCAAAATGATCATCATATTGTAAGAATTCCAGCAATGTAAATTATATTCTGGTCGAGTGATATGTATGAATTTTATGAGCTAAAACAAATATCTTCAGTTAATAAAAAAAAAAAATATTCTTCACGACACTATCTGTCAATCAAAGTACCCCACCTTGCCTCCCCCCCTCCTCACACTCACGCCAGCTGGGTCGGTCGGTCCCAACCCTCCCCCCCAACTTCCCTCCCTACCAGATAAATGTGTGGGTGAAAACTCTAGTTTTTAACGTTTAGTAATAAATATTACCTCAGACTAAAGTTAGGATAATATAATTGACATTTCTGGATTCCTTGCAGGTCAGGGAATATTTTGAATGTAAACTTCATATATTTTGCACAAAAGATAAAATATTTGCTTTGTGTAAACCAAATTATTACTTTAGATCTAAAATTTGTATGTCTAATGCAAAATCCATGATGATTATATTCAAAATGATCATCATATGGTAAGAATTCCAGCAATGTAAATTATATTCTGGCCGGGTAATTTGTATGAATTTTATGAGCTAAATAAAAAAATAAAAAATTATACTTCACCGCGCGTATATGAGTAGATGCACCGCGGAAAGTGAAAGTTTGGTTCTGGCAAGGTACCGCGTAAATGAGAAATCGCGGAAAGTGAAACCGTGTAAAGCGGGGTAACACTGTACACAGAGAAAAACTTTGATGTCTGGTAGAGTCACACTGGATAGCACTGTAAAAGGTCTGGACTTTGGGATATAAATCCCTTACCAGCCTAATCAGGATCTTATAAAAGGAAAGTCAAGAACCACGGGTTTCCAAGGGGTAGCAAACAACTGTTAGAGATTGACATCTCTTTACTACGAAAATAATCACAATAATTGACACCACTCACACAAATATCAAATAAACAATTACGGGAGTCAAACAATTACGGGAGTTAAACAAAGTACAGATATTTCCTACGGCGGCAGCCCAGTGGAATGTTCCGTTAACGCAGAGGTCCGCTCTCAGGGGGAAGGTCCAGGGCAGCTTCCTCACTTGGCGCCGGCGTTGGTGGGCGATGTCTTGCCACACAGGAGAGACGCCAGGGCACGTACAGTGGATATGGCGTGGAGGAAGTGGCAATGACGTGGCAGCCGCTGTAGTAGCTGGATCAGGTGTCTGGAGATTGACAGCCAAATAGTGAAGGTCTGGGGAATCAGCCCAGGAGCCTCAGATGAGCACACGACCAGAGTTTGAACGAACAGCGGGGGAAGTGCAACTGTGGTGCTGGCTGGGTAGTGTCTGATGTGTGACGAAGCAGCAGCGACCTCACCTCCGTCTACCCCTAGTGGGGCCGTGAACAAGCAAACGAGCGGTGGACAACCATCCTGCTCGTTACCGCCCTTACAAACACCTTTCATGCATCTGACCCAGGCCAAGAATCAAACTTCCATATGCATTCACTAATATTTGTAACTTTTTCTCAGAATATCCTACTAAAGCTGTATCATCTTCAAATGGCAACTGACTCCACTCTCATTTGCATCATGTACAGCATCACTTTTACCCAGATTTGTACACCTCTTCAGTACTGTTGGTTTCATCTCTCTTAATACCCCAGCCGTGGAACTGGTGAACAACCATGGTAACAATATTTGTACTTTCACTGGAAACTACAATGCAGTATTTACAGGAGGTCCCTGACTTATGAACGTCTAACTTACAAACATATATATATATATATATATATATATATATATATATATATATATATATATATATATATATATATATATATATATATATATATATATATATATATATATATATATATATATATATGTTTAAGTTAGACGTATATATATATATATATATATATATATATATATATATATATATATATATATATATATATATATAGATATATATATATAGATAGATAGATAGATAGATAGATAGATAGATAGATAGATAGATATATATATATATATATATATATATATATATATATATAATTAGGGAGGGAGGGACCTGCGACCGACCATCTGTTACCGTGTGAAGAATATTTTTTTTTTTATTAACTGAAGATTTTTATTTTAGCTCATAAAATTCATACAAATTACCCGGCCAGAATATAATTTACATTGCTGGAATTCTTACAATTTGGTGATCATTTTGAATATAAACATCATATATTTTGCATTAGACATAAAATTTTTAGATAAAATGTTTAATCTGAGTAAGTATGTTATCTTTTGTGCAAAATATATGACGTTTATATTCAAAATATTCCTGGTCTTACAAGGAATCCAGCAATGTCAATTATATTATCCTAACTTTAATCTGAGGTATTATTTAATACTAAATGTTAAAATCTAGTGTTTTCACCCACTCTTTCTCTTGAAGGGAGGATTGGTGGGAGGTGGGGAGGAGGGTTTGGACGGACTGACCATCTGGCGCTTGGAAGAGGGGGGGAGGCAAGGTGGGGTACTTTGATTGACAGATAGTGTCTTGAAGAATATTTTTTTTTTTATTAACTGAAGATATTTGTTTTAGCTCATAAAATTCATACAAATTACCCGGCCAGAATATAATTTACATTGCTGGAATTCTTACAATTTGATGATCATTTTGAATATAAACATCATAGATTTTGCATTAGACATACAAATTTTAGATGTAATGTTTAATCTGAGTAAATATGTTATCTTTTGTGAAAAATATATGACATTTATATTCAAAATATTCCTGGTCTTACAAGGAATCCAGCAATGTCAATTATATTATCCTAACTTTAGTTTGAGGTATTATTTATTAAAATCTAGTGGTTTTCCCCCAAAAATTTCTCAGAGAGGGAAGAGCCAGCAGTGTAGTGTGAGAAGAGGGGGAGGGAGTCGAGTCCATTATTTGAATGGACATTAACTTGGCGACTGTATTTCTCTATTTCTCTTAAGTATTAATTGTGTGCATGTACCATCATAAAATTAAGATGTTATTTTTACTACAACATAGGTATGTGCCTTCAAAAAATGGAGTTTGGGGGTCGGGCCGGTTTCTATTGGAATTAATCCCATATGTTCTGTTGTTCACTTAACGCGGATTTCACTTAACGCTGGACCCTCTGGGTTCAATTGACCGCGTTAAGTGGGGTACAACCAGTATTACCCCGCCTAACGCGGTTTCACTTAACGCGTTTTATCATATACGCGGTGCCTCGCCAGAGCTGAACTTTCACTTAACACGGATTTTTTCCACATATACGCGGTGAGTGTCCGGCTCCAGACGCTATTTTTAGATTTGCCCCACCCTCCACCCTGCCTGACTGCCTGTTTTAGCTCATAAAATTCATACAATTACCCGGCCAGAATATAATTTACATTGCTGGAATTCTTATAATTTGGTGATCATTTTGAATATAAACATCATATATTTTGCATTAAACATACAATTTTTAGATAAAAATTTTTCTCTAGGTAACTATGTTATCTTTTGTGCAAAATATATGACATTTATATTCAAAATATTCCTGGTCTTACAAGGAATCCAGCAATGTCAATTATATTATCCTAACTTTAGTTTGAGGTATTATTTATTAAAATTTAGTGGTTATCCCACACATCTCCTTGGGACGGTTGGTGGGGGGAGGGAGGGACCGACCGACCATCTGTTACCCTGTGAAGAATTATTTTTTTTTTTTATTAACTGAAGATATTTGTTTTAGCTCATAAAATTCATACAAATTACCCGGTCAGAATATAATTTACATTGCTCGAATTCTTATAATTTGGTGATCATTTTGAATATAAACATCATATATTTTGCATTAAACATACAATTTTTAGATAAAAATTTTTCTCTAGGTAACTATGTTATCTTTTGTGCAAAGTATATGACATTTATATTCAAAATATTCCTGGTCTTACAAGGAATCCAGCAATGTCAATTATATTATCCTAACTTTAATCTGAGGTATTATTTAATACTAAATGTTAAAAACTCTGGAAGGGAGGATTGGTGGGGGTTGGGGGGGAGGGTTGGGACTGACCGCGTGGTTGGAAGAGGGGGGGAGGCAAGGTGGGGTACTTTGATTGACAGATAGTGTGGTGAAGATTATTATTTTTTTTATTAACTGAAGATATTTGTTTTAGCTCATAAAATTCATACAAATTACCCGGTCAGAATATAATTTACATTGCTGGAATTCTTATAATTTGGTGATCATTTTGAATATAAACATCATATATTTTGCATTAAACATACAATTTTTAGATAAAATTTTTTCTCTAGGTAACTATGTTATCTTTTGTGCAAA